GTTAGTTAGTTAGTTAGTTAGTTAGTTAGTTAGTTAGTTAGTTAGTTAGTTAGTTAGTTAGTAGTTAGTTAGTTAGTTAGTTAGTTAGTTAGTTAGTTAGTTAGTTAGTAGTTAGTTAGTTAGTTAGTAGTTAGTTAGTTAGTTAGTTAGTTAGTTAGTAGTTAGTTAGTAGTTAGTTAGTTAGTTAGTTAGTTAGTTAGTAGTTAGTTAGTAGTAGTTAGTTAGTAGTTAGTTAGTTAGTAGTTAGTTAGTAGTTAGTTAGTGGCCTCCGGTAGGTTAGTGGTTAGTTCTAGACTGGTAGACCGGAGGTGGTGGGTTCGATTCCCACCTGAGGCACTGGTTAAGGAGCGCACAACAGGCCCGATAGAGGCTAGGTGTATTTCTTCGGATTTGATGTATAACATCCTCCTTTCAAACTAACTAACTAACTAGTTAGTTAGTGTTAGTTAGTTAGTAGTAGTTAGTTAGTTAGTTAGTTAGTTAGTAGTTAGTTAGTTAGTTAGTTAGTTAGTTAGTAGTTAGTTAGTTAGTTGTAGTTAGTTAGTTAGTTAGTTAGTTAGTTAGTTAGTTAGTTAGTTAGTAGTTAGTTAGTAGTTAGTTAGTTAGTTAGGTTAGTTAGTTAGTTAGTTAGTTAGTTAGTTAGTTAGTAGTTAGTTAGTAGTTAGTTAGTTAGTTAGTTAGTTAGTTAGTTAGTTAGTTAGTTAGTTAGTTAGTTAGTTAGTTAGTTAGTTAGTTAGTTAGTTAGTTAGTTAGTTAGTTAGTTAGTTAGTTAGTTAGTTAGTTAGTTAGTTAGTTAGTTAGTTAGTTAGTTAGTTAGTTAGTTAGTTAGTAGTTAGTTAGTTAGTTAGTTAGTTAGTTAGTTAGTTAGTTAGTTAGTTAGTTAGTTAGTTAGTTAGTTAGTTAGTTAGTTAGTTAGTTAGTTAGTAGTTAGTTAGTTAGTTAGTAGTTAGTTAGTTAGTTAGTTAGTTAGTTAGTTAGTTAGTTAGTTAGTTAGTTAGTTAGTTAGTTAGTTAGTTAGTTAGTTAGTTTGTTAGTTAGTTAGTTAGTTAGTTAGTTAGTTAGTTAAATGTATTGTATTGTATTATTCAATTAACTTTTTAATTCTACCATAAAAGTACTTTTTTACTGATTGATTTTGCAAATTAAATATTCGATTTTTTAATATCTGTTTAATAATTTGTTTATTAACCTTTTTCCAATTTTATTTATAACATCCCAGCAAAAACTGGGTAATAGCTTTTAATTGTAATTACTTACCTAACAACATACTTTTCAATAACTACACATATCGCCTTTATTACATAGAACTGGTCTAATAAGGTCTTACTAATAATGTATTATATAAATACTTTCTAATTCATTAGTCATCTTGCCAGTAAAGATATAGAAGCTGTATACGTTTTTTCATGCGATTTACAATGACTACTTTTTCTAATTACTTGTAATCATTTGTGGTAAGTACTTGCCTCCAATGACATCACCGTGTTAAAATAATGACTTAAAATGCTATTGTGTAAGTAAATTTTAGCATTTTAACCCCTTACATGGTAATGAAAGTTTTTACTGGGATATTTTAAATATTTTAATAAATTAAAGAAAACACTTTTATTTAATGGAACACAACGAAAACATAAAAATATTTTTATGTTTTTCAATACTATTTCTATAAAAAATAAATTTCATTTAACAATTGTTTACGAGTGGTTGAAGAACCAAAAAAATGAAAACACAAAAATCCATCATTCAATAAACAAATGATTTATTTATGGAAAAATAAAAATATTAAGGGTATTCAGAGTAGATAACAGGGAAATAATTTATTTTAACCTAAAAGTAGGCTCTAATTTTTGTTATATTGAATTGTCAGAATTTAAAGAAATTTTTAAGTTTTAAACTTTAGAATACGTTTTAGTTAAAGATTATAATTTTAACAGAAGTTTTCTTAGAAAATGTTCTAGGAATTTTGAATTTTTAAAATGATTTAAAAATTTTGAGGAATTTGTATTTCCGCCCAAAAGTAGGCTTTTAAATTTGATAAAAATTTAAAAGTATTAAGTGAATAGCCTTAATAACATAATAAAAATAATGCTTTTTTCTGATAAATGTTTATATTTTCACACAAATTATGTGTGATTAAATGAAATAGAGAAATCCTTCTCAAAATAAAAATGCATATCCTTTAAAGGCTCTCTTTAACTGTCTTGGCATAAAATAATTGTAATTGAATATTTTAAATTTTATTTTCCTTTTTCTTGCTCTAAACTAAATCATTTCCAATTAAGTTATTTTTGCTATTTTCTTCATTTTAAAAGTCATTACAAGAAACCTCTTGGCCTGTAATACTTCGAATGAAAAAAAAATATATATATATATTTCTTTTTACATTTGAAAATCGTACAGAGCTCGTGTACAGAGAATTGCATACAGAGAAAAGAATTTAATTGTATTAGTTACTTTTGTCTGACAATGACATTAATTAAATACAATTTCATAAACAATATTCTATATTTTCTCTTCTCATTTTCGTTCTATTTGCTTACAGGTCCTTGTTGTCTTTTTTTTCAATACTGTAAAGGATACAGGCAATTAATGTAAAATGCATGAACATAAATAATGTCTTTATACTCCTACCTATACATACGAACATACACACATTCATATGTATGTAAAAGGAAACTTTGCAGGAAGAGCAGTCGTCACACATTGTATGAAATAACCAGCAAATATGAAAAAAAAAAATTATAATTAAAACACATGACAGTAAATAGCAAGAAATGGTTACGAAAATGTAACATAAAGAAAATGTAAAAAGATGTATGTATGTAAAGAAAATGATACGAAAAATAATAATGTATTATAGGCCTAAAATAAAGGGCTATAAATAAGACTACATGTCAACATTAAAGCAGCATAAGTAAATGATAAAAATTGTTATCTGATACACCAGTAAAGGATAAAAGGATAAAAAGTTAAATAAATAGCTGAATTCGGTTCTAGTTAAGTTCTAGTTATGTTCTAGTTCTGTTCTAGTTCTGTTCTAGTTCTGTTCTAGTTCTGTCTAGTTCTGTTCTAGTTCTGTTCTAGTTCTGTTCTAGTTCTGTTCTAGTTCTGTTCTAGTTCTGTTCTAGTTCTGTTCTAGTTCTGTTCTAGTTCTGTTCTAGTTCTGTTCTAGTTCTGTTCTAGTTCTGTCTAGTTTCTGTTCTAGTTCTGTTCTAGTTCTGTTCTAGTTCTGTTCTAGTTCTGTTCTAGTTCTGTTCTGTTCTAGTTCTGTTCTAGTTCTGTTCTAGTTCTGTTCTAGTTCTGTTCTAGTTCTGTTCTAGTTCTGTTCTAGTTCTGTTCTAGTTCTGTTCTAGTTCTGTTCTAGTTCTGTTCTAGTTCTGTTCTAGTTCTGTTCTAGTTCTGTTCTAGTTCTGTTCTAGTTCTGTTCTAGTTCTGTTCTAGTTCTGTTCTAGTTCTGTTCTAGTTCTGTTCTAGTTCTGTTCTAGTCTGTTCTAGTTCTGTTCTAGTCTGTTCTAGTTCTGTTCTAGTTCTGTTCTAGTTCTGTTCTAGTTCTGTTCTAGTTCTGTTCTAGTTCTGTTCTAGTTCTGTTCTAGTTCTGTTCTAGTTCTGTTCTAGTTCTAGTTCTGTTCTAGTTCTGTTCTAGTTCTGTTCTAGTTCTGTTCTAGTTCTGTTCTAGTTCTGTTCAGTTTGTTCTAGTTCTGTTCTAGTTCTGTTCTAGTTCTGTTCTAGTTCTTTCTAGTTCTGTTAGTTCTGTTTAGTTCTGTTCTAGTTCTGTTCTAGTTCTGTCTAGTTCTGTTCTAGTTCTGTTCTAGTTCTGTTCTAGTTCTGTTCTAGTTCTGTTCTAGTTCTGTTCTAGTTCTGTTCTATTTCTGTTCTAGTTCTGTTCTAGTTCTGTTCTAGTTCTGTTCTAGTTCTGTTCTAGTTCTGTTCTAGTTCTGTTCTAGTTCTGTTCTAGTTCTGTTCTAGTTCTGTTCTAGTTTGTTCTAGTTCTGTAGTGTTCTGTTATTGCTAGTTCGTTCTGTTCTGTTCTGTTCTAGTTCTGTTCTAGTTCTGTTCTAGATCTGTTCTAGTTCTGTTCTAGTTCTGTTCTAGTTCTGTTCTAGTTCTGTTCTAGTTCTGTTCTAGTTCTGTTCTAGTTCTGTTCTAGTTCTAGTTCTGTTCTAGTTCTGTTCTAGTTCTGTTCTAGTTCTGTTCTAGTTCTGTTCTAGTTCTGTTCTAGTTTTGTTCTAGTTCTGTTCTAGTTCTGTTGTAGTTCTGTTCTAGTTCTGTTCCAGTTCTGTTCTAGTTCTGTTCTAGTTCTGTTCTAGATCTGTTGTAGTTCTGTTCTAGTTCTGTTCCAGTTCTGTTCTAGTTCTGTTCTAGTTCTGTTCTAGATCTGTTCTAGTTCTGTTCTAGTTTCTAGTTCTGTTCTAGTTCTGTCTAGTTCTGTTCTAGTTCTGTTCTAGTTCTGTTCTAGTTCTGTTCTAGTTCTGTTCTAGTTCTGTTCTAGTTCTGTTCTAGTTCTGTTCTAGTTCTGTTCTAGTTCTGTTCTAGTTCTGTTCTAGTTCTGTTCTAGTTCTGTTCTAGTTCTGTTCTAGTTCTGTTCTTTCTGTTCTAGTTCTGTTCTAGTTCTGTTCTAGTTCTGTTCTAGTTCTGTTCTAGTTCTGTTCTAGTTCTTCTAGTTCTGTTCTAGTATTGTTCTATTATTGTTCTAGTTATATTCTAGTTCCATTCTAGTTCTGTTTTGGATCTGTTGTAGTTCTGTTCTAGTTACTTTCTATTTCTGTTCTACTTCTGTTACTTCCAAACAATTTCATTTTTCAAAAGTAAATCACACTATTACCTTGATCATGTTTACCGATTGTAGGGTACGTTTCTTTATGTTCCTGTATTCAATTACAAATTTGTGAGACTTCGACAGGAAACACCTTCTGCTCTATATTTACTTTGACAAATTGTTGATTGTATTCAAAGCTATTTTTTTTATTATTTTATGTTTCTATATGTTTTCCCAGAAAAACATGGGCAAGTAATTGTTGTGTACCTGGATTGAAGAAAAAATAAAATAATTGAGAAAAATGTTAAAGAAAAACCTTAAAGGACCATTTTCATTGACTAGTTAGATTGGCACTATTGAATTCATTACAAGAAATTAAAGGAAAAGAACTTTTTATTGTGGAAATACAACAAATCTCAGCAATATCTAAAGCCTACTTTAAGGCAGTTATTTGAAAGCAAATTGTTTACTTTAGTGGCAATACGTGTGGGAGTACAATCAAACAAATTGTAAAGTCTATTTTCAGGAATTATCTTAAAGTTAATCTCTTTTATAAGCTTGTTGTCATTAAACTAATTTAAAATCTAATAGCTTTTATAACAAACTTAAAGAACACTTGCTCAATTGTTTATTTTTAAGATTTAGTAATTAATATTATTGAATCCATTTTTCCAACTTAAAAATTCCTTTTGAAATTGCTCTAAATAAATAATGAACCACAATACTTTATTTCTTTCCCCCCTACTCCCACAGAAATCCTTATGTTCTAAGCACCAAAAGAAAATACTAAAAAACAAGGACCAACGAAAATGTCCTTATTTTTTGGACAACCCCATCCGGGGAAAAAGATAAACATTTAAGAGAAGTTCTCTCTCATCTCTTTATGGAATGTATGATACGCTATAAAAATGAGACTGTAAATGAAAATCAAACGGAAACCAGCAGTATTATACCATTGGCAGCACAGCAGGTAATATTTTCAAGTAAACTCATTCAAACGTATCCTGCGTTGGTCTGTCTCATTGTAACTAATTGTATTAATCAAATACAATATTGTTTCTATTTCAGATTATCCCACAGCCATACCACGTTATCTCGAGGAAGCTGTACTCTATGAGGGTTCCATTGATATGCAAAATGTCAATGAAAATGAAGCGAAACGTAATGAATTGTATGCCACCATCAATACCATCACACTGGCACCTGATGAGGATAATAATGATGATGATGCTGCTGATGTTCTCAATAACTTTGATACAGCTGATGTCAACTATACCTATACCACCCTGAGCAGTAGCAGTGCTGGCAGTTCGCCGGGTTCTTCGGGTAGCTTTAGTAATTTTGATAATAAAATCATCCTCTTCATCGGCATCATCATTGTATTGTCCTGTGCGTTTTGATGGTTATCTATGTTGGCCACGTACACCAGCCTGGCACGGTGTTAAGTCAATATTGTCCAGATTTTGTTGAGGGTTTCAATAGTAAATTTTTGGCTCATAAAACGTAAGTTTTAAATACAAATTAAAAGAGGGAGGAATGTAAAATAAATGGGATAATGTAAATAACAAATCAATACTAAAAATTAACCTAAAAAGGAGCTATAGATTAGGATACAACCAGAATATAGACTAGAGTACACTTTATACTAGATTATACATTATACTAGACTATAGACTAGACTATAGACTAGACTATAGACTAGACTATAGACTAGACTATAGACTAGACTATAGACTAGACTATAGACTAGACTATAGACTAGACTATAGACTAGACTATAGACTAGACTATAGACTAGACTATAGACTAGACTATAGACTAGACTATAGACTAGACTATAGACTAGACTATAGACTAGACTATAGACTAGACTATAGACTAGACTATAGACTAGACTATAGACTAGACTATAGACTAGACTATAGACGACTAGACTAGACTATAGACTAGACTATAGACTAGACTATAGACTAGACTATAGACTAGACTATAGACTAGACTATAGACTAGACTATAGACTAGACTATGACTAGACTATAGACTAGACTATAGACTAGACTATAGACTAGACTATAGACTAGACTATAGACTAGACTATAGACTAGACTATAGACTAGACTATAGACTAGACTATAGACTAGACTATAGACTAGACTATAGACTAGACTATAGACTAGACTATAGACTAGACTATAGACTAGACTATAGACTAGACTATAGACTGGACTATAGACTAGGCTATAGACTAAACTATAGACTAGACTATAGACTAGACTATAGACTAGACTATAGACTAGACTATAGACTAGGCTATAGACTAGACTATAGACTAGACTATAGACTAGACTATAGACTAGACTAAAGACTAGACTATAGACTACACTATAGACTAGACTATAGACTAGACTATAGACTAGACTATAGACTAGACTAAAGACTAGACTATAGACTAGACTATAGACTAGACTATAGACTAGACTATAGACTAGACTATAGACTAGACTATAGACTAGACTATAGACTAGACTATAGACTAGACTATAGACTAGACTACAGACTAGTATAGATAGACTATAGACTAGACTATAGACTAGACTATAGACTAGACTATAGACTAGACTATAGACTAGACTATAGACTAGACTATAGACTAGACTATAGACTAGACTATAGACTAGACTATAGACTAGACTATAGACTAGACTATAGACTAGACTATAGACTAGACTATAGACTAGACTATAGACTAGACTATAGACTAGACTATAGACTAGACTATAGACTAGACTATAGACTAGACTATAGACTAGACTATAGACTAGACTATAGACTAGACTATAGACTAGACTATAGACTAGATAGACTAGACTATAGACTAGACTAGACTATAGACTAGACTATAGACTAGACTATAGACTAGACTATAGACTAGACTATAGACTAGACTATAGACTAGACTATAGACTAGACTATAGACTAGACTATAGACTAGACTATAGACTAGACTATAGACTAGACTAAAGACTAGACTATAGACTAGACTATAGACTAGACTGTAGACTAGACTATAGACTAGACTATAGACTAGACTATAGACTAGACTATAGACTAGACTATAGACTAGACTATAAACTAGACTATAGACTAGACTATAGACTAGACTATAGATAAGACTATAGACTAGACTATAGACTAGACTATAGACTAGACTATAGACTAGACTATAGACTAGACTATAGACTAGACTATAGACTAGACTATAGACTAGACTATAGACTAGACTATAGACTAGACTATAGACTAGACTATAGACTAGACTATAGACTAGACTATAGACTAGACTATAGACTAGACTATAGACTAGACTATAGACTAGACTATAGACTAGACTATAGACTAGACTATAGACTAGACTATAGACTAGACTATAGACTAGACTATAGACTAGACTATAGACTAGACTATAGACTAGACTATAGACTAGACTATAGACTAGACTATAGACTAGACTATAGACTAGACTATAGACTAGACTATAGACTAAACTATAGACTAAACTATAGACTAGACTATAGACTAGACTATAGACTAGACTATAGACTAGACTATAGACTAGACTATAGACTAGACTATAGACTAGACTATAGACTAGACTATAGACTAGACTATAGACTAGACTATAGACTAGACTATAGACTAGACTATAGACTAGACTATAGACTAGACTATAGACTAGACTATAGACTAGACTATTGACTAGACTATAGACTAGACTATAGACTAGACTATAGACTAGACTATAGACTAGACTATAGACTAGACTATAGGCTAGACTATAGACTAGATTATATACTAGACTATAGACTAGACTATGGACTAGACTATAGACTAAACTATAGACTAGACTATAGACTAGACTATAGACTAGACTATAGACTAGACTATAGACTAGACTAGACTAGACTATAGACTAGACTATAGACTAGACTATAGACTAGACTATAGACTAGACTATAGACTAGACTATAGACTAGACTATAGACTAGACTATAGACTAGACTATAGACTAGACTATAGACTAGACTATAGACTAGACTATAGACTAGACTATAGACTAGACTATAGACTAGACTGTAGACTAGACTATAGACTAGACTATAGACTAGACTATAGACTAGACTATAGACTAGACTAGACTAGACTATAGACTAGACTATAGACTAGACTATAGACCAGACTATAGACTAGAATATGGTTCAAATTATAGATCACTTTTTACACTCAAATAAATTGCTCTTCGATATTTTGGGTTAATTTCAAATTAGTTCTAATTTATGCAAAAGTTTTACTTCTATTGTTTATTATTATGCTAGTGTGTTCATAGACAATATTTAAGATTTAGGCTCTTAATAGATTGTGTTGTTTTTTCCATATTTTGAAGGTAAATAATATTTTTGGCAATTTTTTGTTGTAGTTGTTTTAGGAATTTTTATTGTTTTTGTTGTTGTGGGTGTTTTATTCATGTTGGTCTGCAGTTTGTGGTTGTATCTCAATTAAAAGTTAGACGTCTTTTTTATTGTTTTGTTGCCAACACAGCAGTAGCAACAACAAGAGAAACTTTTTATACGTAGCAAGGATATTAACGTGAATTTGTGTGTGCTCTAGTATTTAACTTAAAGTGTTGAAAATTTTTACAGCTTTAAACAATAAAAAAGTTTATGTACCAAAAATAAGGAGAAAATCCCCAAATGGGAAGGATATTAAAGTAGCAAAATTTAAAAAAATGAAAGGAAGTTTCTTGCACTTTATATACAAAATAGTTTTAATGGTAGGGATTCGTTCCCTTATACACTTGGCTTAACTACTAGTTTTCTACTCCAACAAGTTTACTTACTTTACCTCACAAAAGTTGATTTTTGTTAAAGAAAAGTTTCTTTTTTACAGAAAGGTACTTTAATTGTAGTTTAATGTTTTAATTGCCCATAAAAACAAGTTAAGTTTTGTGAAAACAAGAGTAAAAATTATTGGATATAAAAAAATCTGTAAAACATAAAAGGATTTACAATTAAAAATTGATTTTGGGTAGTAAGCATAAAAGGAGATCAAAGAATTAAAAAGTGTTTCCTGGGATTAATTTGGAAATTAACAAAAAAGGAAAAGTTGATTTTTAAGGAGTTAAGGAGATTAAAATTATATTTTGTTTAATTTGGAGAAATAGAATTGAACCAGAACAGAACTAGAACAGAACTAGAAACAGAACTAGAACAGAACTAGAAACAGAACTAGAACAGAACTAGAACAAACTAGAACAGAACTAGAACAGAACTAGAACAGAACTAGAACAGAACTAGAACAGAAACTAGAACAGAACTAGAACAGAACAGAACAGAACTAGAACAGAACTATAACAGAACTAGAACAGAACTAGAACAGAACTAGAACAGAACTAGAACAGAACTAGAACAGAACTAGAACAGAACTAGAACAGAACTAGAACAGAACTAGAACAGAACTAGAACAGAACTAGAACAGAACTAGAACAGAACTAGAACAGAACTAGAACAGAACTAGAACAGAACTAGAACAGAACTAGAACAGAACTAGAACAGAACTAGAACAGAACTAGAACAGAACTAGAGAACTAGAAGAGACTAGAACAGAACTAGAACAGAACTAGAACAGAACTAGAACAGAACTAGAACAGAACTAGAACAGAACTAGAACAGAACTAGAACAGAACTAGAACAGAACTAGAACAGAACTAGAACAGAACTAGAACAGAACTAGAACAGAACTAGAACAGAACTAGAACAGAACTAGAACAGAACTAGAACAGAACTAGAACAGAACTAGAACAGAACTAGAACAGAACTAGACAGAACTAGAACAGAACTAGAACAGAACTAGAACAGAACTAGAACAGAACTAGAACAGAACTAGAACAGAACTAGAACAGAACTAGAAGTGGAACTGAACTACAACTGAAGTAATACTAAACTTTTCATAAATCAATCTTTCTCTTTCAGCTGCTTGGAAAATGGCTCCTGGTATCAGCATCCCGAAAGCGGTCAGGAATGGTCAAATTACACCAATTGCATAGACTATGAAGATTTGGAGGTAATGCCATCACGAAATTCCAATAAAGAAACCTCAACTAAATCCTTAATATAATCCTTTTTCCCAACAGTTTCGCACCTTTGTCAATGAGCTGTATGTTAAGGGCTATGCTGTCTCCTGTCTGGCTTTAATATTTTCCCTCATTATTTTCTTGGGTTTTAAGTAAGTGTTATCCCCTTCCTATGTATGTGTGTACGTGTTTGTATAAGAGTAATCTAAAAGGATTTTGTTTAAAATAAAGACACTTTCAATATACTTACATAAAAAGGTCCTTACGTTGCACCAGAATACGCATACATGTCCACCTCTTTGCCTCGTTGGCTTTTACTTGCGTCACTTGGATTTTGTGGTATAAACTGGTTGTGGAGCAACCTGACATGATACGCAATAATCCGGTAGGTAGCTGACACACTTACTCTCTTACTCATAGTTGGTTTGTTTTATTGTTGTTAATGCTTTTAATACGGTTTTTTTTGTGTTTATATTTTGTTGACTTTTCATAGTATTGGTGCATTGGTTTACATCTTGTAATACATTATTTCATGTTGGTCAACTACTTTTGGATGTTCTGTGAGGGATTACACTTGCACTTGGTATTAGTGGTGGTAAGTAGTGTGGGAAAAATTTTAAAAGGGGCATTTGAATTAAATAATGAGAAAAGTAAAAATAGTGTATAGACTGGTCTATAGTCTAGTCTATTTGTTAATCAATAGTCTAGTCTAAAGTCTAGTCTATAGTCTAGTCTATAGTCTAGTCTATAGTTTAGTCTATAGTCTAGTCTATAGTCTAGTCTATAGTTTAGTCTATAGTCTAGTCTATAGTCTAGTCTATAGTTTAGTCTATAGTCTAGTCTATAGTCTAGTCTATAGTCTAGTCTATAGTCTAGTCTATAGTCTAGTCTATAGTCTAGTCTATAGTCTAGTCCATAGTCTAGTCTATAGACTAGTCTATAGTCTAGTCTATAGTTTAGTCTATAGTCTAGTCTATAGTCTAGTCTATAGTTTAGTCTATAGTCTAGTCTATAGTCTAGTCTATAGTCTTGTCTATAGTCTAGTCTATAGCCTAGTCTATAGTCTAGTCTATAGTCTAGTCTATAGTATAGTCTATAGACTAGTCTATAGTCTAGTCTATAGTCTAGTCTATAGTCTAGTCTATAGTCTAGTCTATAGTCTATTCTATAGTCTAGTCTATAGTCTAGTCCATAGTCTAGTCTATATTCTAGTATATAGTCTAGTCTATAGTCTAGTCTATAGTCTAGTCTATAGTCTAGTCTATAGTCTAGTCTACAGTCTAGTCTATAGTCTAGTCTAGTCTAGTCTAGTCAGTCTAGTCTAGTCTATAGTCTAGTCTAGTCTATAGTCTAGTCTAGTCTAGTCTAGTCTAGTCTAGTCTAGTCTAGTCTAGTCTATAGTCTAGTCTATATTCTAGTCTATAGTCTAGTCTATAGTCTAGTCTATATTCTAGTCTATAGTCTAGTCTATAGTCTAGTCTATAGTCTAGTCTGTAGTCTAGTCTATAGTCTAGTCTCTAGTCTAGTCTAGTCTATAGTCTAGTCTATAGTCTAGTCTATAGTCTAGTCTATAGTCTAGTCTATAGTCTAGTCTATAGTCTAGTCTATAGTCTAGTCTATAGTCTAGTCTATAGTCTAGTCTATAGTCTAGTCTATAGTCTAGTCTATAGTCTAGTCTATAGTCTAGTCTATAGTCTAGTCTATAGTCTAGTCTATAGTCTAGTCTATAGTCTAGTCTATAGTCTAGTCTATAGTCTAGTCTATAGTCTAGTCTATAGTCTAGTCTATAGTCTAGTCTATAGTCTAGTCTAGTAGTCTAGTCTAGTCTATAGTCTAGTCTATAGTCTAGTCTAGTCTATAGTCTAGTCTAGTCTAGTCTATAGTCTATTGTATAGTGTATTCTAGTCTATAGTCTAGCCTGTAGTCTATTTTATAGTATATTCTGTAGTCTAGTCTATAATTTAGTTTATATATCAATTATTGTAATATTGAATTTTTAAATTATAAATTTTTGTTAAAATTTGTTTATGGGTTTTATTGTTCTTCAAAACACATACATACACAGTATTATTAATCACATTTATTTTCACATTTGACCGCCTTCCACTGACACAGCTCTGTTGCTTTGGCATCTTTATTTTCAACATATACTTGCTTTCTTACCGCATTGAACAAACACATATAGCCTCCTGTAAGTCTACTCTTAAAGATCAAACTTTCCTCTTTCACTAAATCGATTAACCACATATTATCATTTGGATCTGCATAACCTTTTTCACTGGCTACCAAAAATGGTAAATCTTCCGACTTAATATACTGCCAACGACGAGGACTGGTGAAAAGCAATAGATTTAAATCTGTTACATTGCCATTGTTATAATCCTGCAATGAGGTCTCCATAACACTGCTTGAGTTTAGAGAACACGAGGGGTAGGCCTGAGTTAGGGCGTATAATTCTTGGCTGCCTTGCATTACCGGTTGCTGGGAATTATACAACATTTCACCACTCAATTGATTTACTAAACAGAAAGTGGGTTCAAAAAAAAAATTCCTTAAGGTAGTGGGTAAATTATTGATTACTTTCTCCAAACGTAACTTAAGCACGTCATCTAATTTCGAGTAATCATTGGCGTACATGGAATATTGTGTGGCTCTTTGTAATATAAATGCTGTTTGTATTAAGTATTTGTAATCCAGTTGTTGATACATGGTATACAAACTGTACAAGATCAGTTGAGAACGTACCATAGTTTCAAAGGCATTTGTAAACATATAATTGTATATGTACACTCTCCACAATTTTAGACTAATATCAGCTAAGGGCTGCTCGTAAAATACCTCCTGGATGGCATCGTGAAAGATTTCCTCTATTAAAGACTTTTCACAATTCTGCATAATGGTTTTCTGGACAGAAGTCTGCAAAGGAAATTCATCACCACTTAAGGCATTAGCCAATAGATTAGCATAATAGAGACGTTGTAAACGACGCATAATATGGGCCGATTCTGCCAACTGCTGTTGTTGTTGAATCGAATTATCTGTTCTATTGGATGTTAAATCGGTTCCTTTATAGTTTTCCTCCACAATTGCTTTTGCCCATGATACCGAACAAATTGTCGCTATTATCAGCAGTATTACTGATAAATTTTTAAAATTTCTTGTTTGCAACATTGCTACTAAATTGCTACTGCTAATTAAATTAATTTATTGAACTGATTTTATATCATTTTCTTAAGTCATTATCTACGTTATCGCAGCCAACGGGGTAACAATATGAATCTTTGTAGATAATGTAATCGAATGAAATTTGTTGTTAAGTTAAATTTCATTTCATTTATTAACTTTGTTTTGATCTATTTTAAGAAATTTTCTTATCAATTTTCTTTTAAAATTGATTGCTATCAAGCTCTTCCAACTAATTTGCGACATAGTTTTCTTTGAATCAGATTGTTCATATCAGTGTTGACACATTCTGTGGATAACAATTCGTATTTCTTAGCAGTTAGGTGATTCACAAGATATCTGCGTTTCTTTTGGTGGAACACTATAGACTAGATTATAGACTAGACCATAGACTAGACTATAGATTAGACTATGGACTTGACTATTGACTTGTCTATAGACTAGACTATAGACTAGACTATAGACTATACTATAGACTAGACTATAAACTAGACTATAGACTAGACTATCGACTAGACTATAGACTAGACTATATACTAGACTATAGACTAGACTATAGACTAGACTATAGCCTAGATTAAAGCCTACACTATAGACTACACTATAGACTAGACTGTAGACTAGACTATAGACTAGACTATTAGACTATACTATAGACTAGACTATAGACTAGACTATAGACTAGACTATAGACTAGACTATAGACTAGACTATTGACTAGACTATAGACTAGACTATAGACTAGACTATAGACTAGACTATAGACTATTCTATAGACTAGACTATAGACTAGACTATAGACTAGACTATAGACTAGACTATAGACTAGACTATAGACTAGACTATAGACTAGACTATAGACTAGACTATAGACTAGACTATAGCCTAGACTATAGACTAGACTATAGACTAGTCTATAGACTGGACTATAGACTAGACTATAGACTAGACTATAGACTAGACTATAGACTAGACTATAGACTAGACTATAGACTAGACTATAGACTAGACTATAGACTAGACTATAGACTAGACTATAGACTAGACTATAGACTAGACTATAGACTAGACTATAGACTAGACTATAGACTAGACTATAGACTAGACTATAGACTAGACTATAGAATAGACTATAGACTAGACTACAGACTAGACTATAGACTAGACTATGGCCTAGACTATAGACTAGACAACAGACTAGACTATAGACTAGACTATAGACTAGACTATAGACTAGACTATAGACTAGACTATAGACTAGACTATAGACTAGACTATAGACTAGACTATAGACTAGCCTATAGACTAGACTATAGACTAGACTATAGACTAGACTATAGACTAGACTATAGACTAGACTATAGACTAGACTATAGACTAGACTATAGACTAGACTATAGACTAGACTATAGACTAGACTATAGACTGGACTATAGACTAGACTGTAGACTAGTATATAGACTAGACTATAGCCTAGACTATACACTAGACTATAGACTAGACTATAGACTAGACTATAGACTAGACTATAGACTAGACTATAGACTAGACTATAAACTAGACTATAGACTAGACTATAGACTAGACTATAGACTAGACTATAGACTAGACTATAGACTAGACTATAGACTAGACTATAGACTAGACTATAGACTAGACTATAGACTAGACTATAGACTAGACTAGACTAGACTAGACTAGACTATAGACTAGACTATAGACTAGACTATAGACTAGACTATAGACTAGACTATAGACTAGACTATAGACTAGACTATAGACTAGACTATAGACTAGACTATAGACTAGACTATAGACTAGACTATAGACTAGACTATAGACTAGACTATAGACTAGACTATAGACTAGACTATAGACTAGACTATAGACTAGACTATAGATTAGACTATAGACTAGACTGTAGACTAGACTATAGACTAGACTATAGACTAGACTATAGACTAGACTATAGACTAGACTATAGACGAGACTGTAGACTAGACTATAGACTAGACTATAGACTAGACTATAGACTAGACTATATACTAGACTATAGACTAGACTATAGACTAGACTATAGACTAGACTATAGACTAGACTATAGACTAGACTATAGACTAGACTATAGACTAGACTATAGACTAGACTACAGACTAGACTATAGACTAGACTATAGACTGGACTATAGACTAGACTGTAGACTAGTCTATAGACTAGACTATAGCCTAGACTATAGACTAGACTATAGACTAGACTATAGACTAGACTATAGACTAGACTATAGACTAGACTATAGACTAGACTATAGACTAGACTATAGACTAGAATACAGACTAGACTATAGACTAGACTATGGCCTAGACTATAGACTAGACTATAGACTAGACTATAGACTAGACTATAGACTAGACTATAGACTAGACCATAGTCTAGACTATAGACTAGACTATAGACTAGACTATAGACTAGACTATAGACTAGACTATAGACTAGACTATAGACTAGACTATAGACTAGACTATAGACTAGACTATAGACTAGACTATAGACTAGACTATAGACTAGACTATAGACTAGACTATAGACTAGACTAGACTATAGACTAGACTATAGACTAGACTATAGGACTAGACTATAGACTAGACTATAGACTAGACTATAGACTAGACTATAGACTAGACTATAGACTAGACTATAGACTAGACTATAGACTAGACTATAGACTAGACTATAGACTAGACTATAAGACTAGACTATAGACTAGACTATAGACTAGACTATAGACTAGACTATAGACTAGACTATAGACTGAACGATAGACTAGACTATAGACTAGACTATAGACTAGACTGTAGACTAGACTTAGACTACTATAAGCTAGACTATAGACTAGACTATAGACTGGACTATAGACTGAGACTGTAGACTAAGTCTATAGATTAGACATAGACTAACGAGACCTAGACTAGAGACTAGACTATAGACTAGACTATAGACTAGACTATAAGACTAGACTATAGACGAGACTATAGACTAGACTATAGACTAGACCTATAGACTAGACCTATAGACTAGACTATAGACTAGACTTAATAGACTAGACTATAGACTAGACTATAGACTAGACTATAGACTAGACTATAGACTATACTATAGACCTAGACTATAGACTTAGACCTATAGACGACTATAGACTATAGACTAGAACTATAGACTAGCACTATAGACTAGACTATGAAGACTAGACTATAGACTAGACTATTAGACTAGACTATAGACTAGACTATAGACTAGACTATAGACTAGACTATAGACTAGACTATAGACTAGACTATAGACTAGACTATAGACTAGACTATAGACTAGACTATAGACTAGACTATAGACTAGACTATAGACTAGACTATAGACTAGACTATAGACTAGACTATAGACTAGACTATAGACTAGACTATAGACTAGACTATAGACTAGACTATAGACTAGACTATAGACTAGACTATAGACTAGACTATAGACTAGACTATAGACTAGACTATAGACTATAGACTAGACTATAGACTAGACTATAGACTAGACTATAGACTAGACTATAGACTAGACTATAGACTAGACTATAGACTAGACTATAGACTAGACTATAGACTAGACTATAGACTAGACTATAGACTAGACTATAGACTAGACTATAGACTAGACTATAGACTAGACTATAGACTAGACTATAGACTAGACTATAGACTAGACTATACTAGACTAGACTATAGACTAGACTATAGACTATAGACTAGACTATAGACTAGACTATAGACTAGACTATAGACTAGACTATAGACTAGACTATAGACTAGACTATAGACTAGACTATAGACTAGACTAAGACTAGACTATAGACTAGACTATAGACTAGACTAAGACTAGACTATAGACTAGACTATAGACTAGACTATAGACTAGACTATAGACTAGACTATAGACTAGACTATAGACTAGACTATAGACTAGACTATAGACTAGACTATAGACTAGACTATAGACTAGACTATAGACTAGACTATAGACTAGACTATAGACTAGACTATAGACTAGACTATAGACTAGACTATAGACTAGACTATAGACTAGACTATAGACTAGACTATAGACTAGACTATAGACTAGACTATAGACTAGACTATAGACTAGACTATAGACTAGACTATAGACTAGACTATAGACTAGACTATAGATAGACTATAGACTAGACTATAGACTAGACTATAGACTAGACTATAGACTAGACTATAGACTAGACTATAGACTAGACTATAGACTACACTATAGACTAGACTATAGACTATACTTTACACTAGACTATAGACTAGATTTTGAGTTATAGTATTGTCTTAGTTATTCGGCATCAATTAAATATATTGTTAAAACTTATTTCCTATTTCAGGTCTTTGTCAAAGACACCATTGTCATGCGTTGGTTTAAAATATTTTCCTGGCTTTCACCCTTTATCTTCATAACAGCTTATGCCGTGGCTAGATTTTTACATGTCGAAGATAATATACAGTAAGTAAATGGAGAAAGAAGATACATGAAGACAATCTTTAATTTTTTATTTTTTTTTTGTTTTTCTATAACACAGTTGCTGGATGGATGACAGTCTTTTGCTGTGGATCTTTTCGGTGCCAGTATGCATTTCCTTGGTGGCCAGTTTCTGTGAGTAAATTTAGCAGCTAGTATGGCTGAATAAACTGTTAAAAATTAATTGATTTAATTTTTTGTTTTAATTGTTATACATTTTTAGTCTTTCTTATCAATGTCTTGCGTGTTATTGTACGCAAACTACATCCCCAATCGGCTCAGCCAGCACCATTGGCCATACGCAAGGCGGTTAGAGCAACAATTATATTGGTACGTGTGTTTTAATTATATAAAGGAAAATAAACATAATTAAAATATTTTTAAATGGTTTTCCTTTTAAACAGGTGCCACTTTTGGTTTGCAGCATTTTCTCTTACCCTACCGTCCTGACAGCGGCAGTCCTCTAGAACGTTTCTATCAATTGCTGTCGGTTATATTGGTTAGTTTACAAGGTTTTGTGGTGTCCTTTCTGTTCTGTTTTGCCAATCATGATGTTACTTTTGCGGTACGAAGTCTTTGCAATCGTTTGGCTCCCAGTATTGTATCACCACCACCACCCTCTAGTCATACCGGACAAATGGCCACCACTACACCTAGTCGTGAGTTAGGTGTTTAAGAAGGAAAGTCCTTCCCAAAATAATTGAGAGAATTTAGTTTAATAAGTATAAATGTCTATGAAATCACATCACTTTGTTATGCATAAGTGAAATACTTTCTTCCCCAAAATGTTTACCTTTAAGAGTATTTACTTATTCCTTTTCTTTTTAATTTCCTGTTTAGGGAAAATGTAATTTTCTTACAAACTGTTACAGGAAACGCATTTATTTTTGTTATTATTTGTATTATTTTGAACTGTTTTTTATGTTTTGTGATACTAAAAGAAAATATTTGTTATCAAATATTATTAATACTTTAAGTGTATGAGCAAATAAAAAAACAAAATTCCTATTAAATGTTAAATATAAGAAAATAAAGGGTTTACAGGAAACCAAGGAACAACTAGATGTAAAGATAAATGTGTTTTATTTCCTCTCGGTACAAAAGTTTGAAAGTCTTTGTTAAAAAGGAGTGCTAGCTAAGACAGCAACCTTTAAGTAATAACGTTTATAACGCCAACAAACAAAAAATTATAAAAATTAGTTAACTACAACACGCAGTTTTAGCTAAGCTATAAACCTGTCAAGTTTCAAATTTCTAGCTTTAATAATTTAGCATCTAGCTATATATCCTTTTTTAGTTTTGCAAAAAAAAAACTTTGTAAAAGTCTATAATTTCACAGTGGCAATGATTTTACTTTTGTTTGAAATTATTTTTAGAAGTTTTTGCAATTTTTATAATGTATTTTATTGAACTTTGTATAAGTTTAAGTGAAATATTCCAGAACTAAACCCACCGCAACTCGTAGTTTTAGTAGAGCCATACACCTACCAAGTTTCATCTCTTCAGCTTTAGTGGTTTATAAGCCAGCCATATATCCTTTTTTATTACTTATTAATATTTGCCGAAAAATCTATGATTTCTAACAGAAATTGAATTCTGTTTCCTTTAATATGAATTTAACAATTTTTTAAAATTTTTTAAAATGTATTTCCGAAAATTTTCCTAATTTTTATTAAGTCAGTAGTTCAGAAGTTAGTCATATATTCTTTTTAAGTTAATAAAAAAATGAACGAAAAACATAAACTTTAAACTAACTAACTAACTAACTAACTAACTAACTAACTAACTAACTAACTAACTAACTAACTAACTAACTAACTAACTAACTAACTAACTAACTAACTAACTAACTAACTAACTAACTAACTAACTAACTAACTAACTAACTAACTAACTAACTAACTACTAACTAACTAACTAACTAACTAACTAACTAACTAACTACTAACTAACTAACTAACTAACTAACTAACTAACTAACTAACTAACTAACTAACTAACTAACTAACTAACTAACTAACTAACTACTACTAACTAACTAACTAACTAACTAACTAACTAACTAACTAACTAACTAACTAACTAACTAACTAACTAACTAACTAACGAACTAACTAACTAACTAACTAACTAACTAACTAACTAACTAACTAACTAACTAACTAACTAACTAACTAACTAACTAACTAACTAACTAACTAACTAACTAACTAACTAACTAACTAACTAACTAACTACTACTAACTAACTAACTAACTAACTAACTAACTAACTAACTAACTAACTAACTAACTAACTAACTAACTAACTAACTAACTAACTAACTACTAACTAACTAACTAACTACTAACTAACTAACTAACTAACTAACTAACTAACTAACTAACTAACTAACTAACTAACTAACTAACTAACTAACTAACTAACTAACTAACTAACTAACTAACTAACTAACTAACTAACTAACTAACTAACTACTAACTAACTAACTAACTAACTAACTAACTAACTAACTAACTAACTAACTAACTACTAACTAACTAACTAACTAACTAACTAACTAACTAACTAACTAACTAACTAACTAACTAACTAACTAACTAACTAACTAACTAACTAACTAACTAACTAACTAACTAACTAACTAACTAACTACTAACTAACTAACTAACTAACTAACTAACTAACTAACTAACTAACTAACTAACTACCTAACTAACTAACTAACTAACTAACTAACTAACTAACTAACTACTAACTAACTAACTAACTAACTAACTAACTAACTAACTAACTAACTAACTAACTAACTAACTAACTAACTAACTAACTAACTAACTAACTAACTAACTAACTACTAACTACTAACTAACTAACTAACTAACTAACTAACTAACTAACTAACTAACTAACTAACTAACTAACTAACTAACTAACTACTAACTAACTAACTACTAACTAACTAACTAACTAACTAACTAACTAACTAACTAACTAACTAACTAACTAACTAACTAACTAACTAACTAACTAACTAACTACTAACTAACTAACTAACTAACTAACTAACTAACTAACTAACTAACTAACTAACTAACTAACTAACTAACTAACTAACTAACTAACTAACTAACTAACTAACTAACTAACTAACTAACTAACTAACTAACTAACTAACTAACTAACTAACTAACTAACTAACTAACTAACTAACTAACTAACTAACTAACTAACTAACTAACTAACTAACTAACTAACTAACTAACTAACTAACTAACTAACTAACTAACTAACTAACTAACTAACTAACTAACTAACTACTAACTAACTAACTAACGACTAACTAACTAACTAACTACTAACTAACTAACTAACTACCTAACTAACTAACTAACTACTTTTTTTGTTATTTTTTATTAAACAATTTCAAAACAAAGTTTACCACCACTCGTAGCTTTAGTTCTTCTATCTTTGCACCAAGTTTTAACATTCTAGTTTTAATTCTTTAGAAACCAGCCATATCCTTTTTTGGATCTTAAATAAAATGTTCATAGAAATCATTAGATTTGCTAGAAAAATAAATTTTCTTTAACTAAAAAATCGGTTTTAGTATTCTAATCCCATTTTTGACCTAAATTTTGTTAATTTTTGTTAGGTTTTATAAAACAATTTTAAAGCCAAGTTTACCAAAACCCGTAGTTTTAGTTCTTTTATCTATACAACAAGTTTTAAGATTCTACCTTTAATAGTTTCGAAGCCAGCATTATATCCTTTTTTGAATATTAAATAAAATGTCAATAGAAATCATTAGTTTTGCTAAGAAAATTAATATTCTTTAACTTAAAATCAGTTTCAGTATTCTAAACCCATTTTTGACCTGAATTTTGTTAATTTTGGTTATTATTTATTAAACAATTTCAAAACAAAGTTTACTGCAACCCGTAGTTTTAGTTCTTCTATCTATACAACAAGTTTTAAGATTCTAGCTTTAATAGTTTCGAAGCCAGCCTTATATCCTTTTTTGAATATTAAATAAAATGTCAATAGAAATCATTAGTTTTGCTAAGAAAATTAATATTCTTTAACTTAAAATCAGTTTCAGTATTCGAAACCCATTTTTGACCTGAATTTTGTTAATTTTTGTTATTATTTATTAAACAATTTCAAAACAAAGTTTACTGCAACCCGTAGTTTTAGTTCTTTTATCTATACAACAAGTTTAAAGATTCTAGCTTTAATAATTTAGAAGCCAGTCATATATCCTTTTTTGAATTTTAAATAAAATGTCAATAGAAATCATTAGTTTTGTTAGGAAAATTAAGTTTATTTAACTTAAAAACTGTTTTATTATTTTAACCCCATTTTTGACCTGAATTTTATTAATTTTTATTATTTTTTATAAAATATTTTCAAAAACAAGTTTGTTACAACCCGTAGTTTTTGTTCTTCTATCTATACCTCAATCTATATGCTTCTATGTACTTTAGTTTGCAAGCTGGCCATATATCCTTTTTGTTAAACATTTTCCAAAATTATTATATTACGCCTAAAAGTATGCTATATTTATTGGATGTTTTCCCTATGAAAATAAAACTTCAGTTTTGAAATTTTTGTTCACATTTTGTTGTTTTTTTATTGTTTATTTTATGAAAGAGCAAAAGAGAGTGTAGAACGAAAACTAATACATAAAATACAAATACAATAATAATCATAATAATTACACATACACATGTTGGTTTTTTTGTTATCATAATTTCATATAGTAGTTGTTTGTTTTTGTTGTTGTTGTTGTTATAGGAGGGGATATTTTTGTTTATTACTCATTTTTGTTAAATCTTCTTCTGATTTTACACATTAAAACGGATTTTATAGTTCAATTACTTTGGTTTCTCTTTACTTCTACTTGTTACTGGGTACTAAAATCTCTGGTCAAAAGTTTGTTTTGTGTTTTTTTTTAAAGAGAGTTTAAACCAAAATGTCTATAGAGAAAGATTTGCTTTTTACTGTGTAGGTGGTCATTTGTATGTGTAGTTGTTTTTTACGTTTTTCTTTTGAATTAATAATATAATTATATTTTTTATATAAACTTTAGACATTTAATATTTCTTTTTTGGTTTTTTGGTTTTTATATAAAAAAAAATATTAATATTGCAGTTATTTCATTGTTTTTGTTTTGTTATTTTTTTTAATTGTTATAGGAAATTTGTTTGTATTTGTTGCTTTTTTTTTGTTCTCTGCAAAGACGCTTTTAAAAATGTATTGCACAGTGGTTTTAACGGTCTTGTTGTTGTTTGGTATGAAATATTTGTTTTTTTACTAAATTATTTTCTTTAGATATTTTAATATAAAATTGAGTTAAGTTTTTTGTTATTATAATAATTTGGTTTATTTTATGTTTTATCTTTAATAAATTACGCATAAAATTTATAATTACTAAGTTTCATACTAAAATAATTAAGGAAAATATTTTGTTTTTGTTTTTAATTTTTAATAAGAAAATTAGATTGTTGCTTAATAATTCATATTTGTTTTAATATAGACACTTATAGGGAAACAAACAAATGTTAAATATTATGATTAATTTTAATTTATTTAAAATGATATTAACTATAATTTAATTAGTTTATTTTTTGTTTTAAGTTATATTTTGTAAAGAAAATTTTAATACGTAAACTAAAGAAATTCATAATTTTTGTAAAAAATCTAAATTAAGAACAAGAAGGACTAAACTAAAACTGAACTAGAACTGAACTAGAACTGAACTAGAACTGAACTAGAACTGAACTAGAACTGAACTAGAACTGAACTAGAACTGAACTAGAACTGAACTAGAACTGAACTAGAATTGAACTAGAACTGAACTAGAACTGAACTAGAACTGAACTAGAACTGAACTAGAACTGAACTAGAACTGAACTAGAACTGAACTAGAACTGAACTAGAACTGAACTAGAACTGAACTAGAACTGAACTAGAACTGA